AATGTGCCAGCTTATTTGGTTCTACCTATATATGTGAACAAACTTTTTCAATACTAAATAATAATAAAACAAAAAATCGAAACCGCCTTGCAAATGATAGTTTGGAAGCAGTTTTACGTGTTGCTACAAGTAAATTTGAGCCAAATATAAAAAAGATTGTAAGCACTATGCAGTGCCACGCTTCAAATTAATAAATTCTTTTTCAATTTTAATACATTATTATCAATTCTTTATTGTCTTTAATTACCTATACTTCTGGCGGCCCGCCATCAGTTCATGATTTGCCCGAGTGGCCCCTAGTCTTAATAAGTCTGTGCATCACTGTTTTAAAAGAACGAACTTTCAGAGGTTATATCTCAAAAACTAATTGTGATATCGCAATGAAATAAGATGCATTTTCAATTTGTATTTTTTGCATTTTGCATTTGTTGTTTTTTAGATTTTTGATGGACTCACCGCAACTTCGAAATCCCTCGGGAGATATTGCAACACGGCGCATCCCCTAACGATTAAATCACCGGGAAATCACGTTTTCGTAAAATTCAGATCAGATATAAGCAACCAAGGGAGAGGATTTCAATTGCAGTATTCAACGAGTAACAACAATAACTCCGAGATAAATCATTTTAATTGAAATTTTGATTCTATTCCAGTTTGCAACAACCAAGTGCGAGGTTACAGCGGTGTTATTGAAAGCCCGAATTATCCATATGGATATGCAATAGATCAAGATTGCACGTGGGAAATCGGGGTTCCTGAAGGAAATAAAATCAACATCACATTTTCGCACTTAGATTTAGAGCGAACTTCGGTTGTCACCAAAGGACGTTGCGAGTTTGATTACGTAGAGATTTCAACTTACGACGCCGAATTCGAAAAAGTAAAAGTGTTGGATCGATTGTGTGGATCCCCCGAATATATTCCTCCGATGACGATTGATTCGAACAACACCTCGATTCATTTCGTTTCCGATAACCTTTTAAGCGGGAACGGGTTTAGATTGGAATGGCACCTTTTCGGTTGTGGAGGAATCCTCGATCGTCCAGAAGGAACCATCTCAACTCCCGGATACCCCACCGCTTACCCCCAAAACACGAGATGCGAGTGGATCATCGCACTCCCTTCTCCTGGAAAAAGCGTCCAAATAACTTTCGATAAAGACCTCCACTTAGAAACGAGCCACACCTGTTACACCGATTACATCGAAATTTATAACGGCAGAAAAGCGGTGGAAGAAAATCTTCTTAGACGTTTTTGTGAAACTAGCAATGTCACTAACATAACGAGTAACGGGCACGAAATGTTCGTGGTGTTCCAAAGTGATTATGTACTCGTTGATAAAGGATTTAAGGCAGAATATAGAACCGTTGATTCAAGCTGTGGCGGAAATCTCCTCGCTGATGATGGGTTTATAATGTCGCCGAATTACCCGAAAAATTACGAAACAAAAACAACGTGCGAATGGTTAATAACCATCAAAGAAAATCACGTAATTAATTTATTTTTCCACGACGTCGACCTTGCATCAAATTGCAATAAGACCAACATTCGCGTTTATGACGGCCCCGACGAAGGTTATCCTTTACTCACCACCGTTTGCGGCACCAACAAACCTAATGGAACAATTAAATCGTCTTATAATCATTTGTATGTTAAATTTCAAGCTGATAGTATGTTAACAGCGAAAGGATTTAGGTTAGAGTTTAAAAAGGTATGTTTGTTAAACTTTATTAATGTATCAATTGAGTTTTAAAATGTGTTTAAGGCATGCGGTGGAATTTTGAACTCCAAAACGAGTGGGTTAATCAAATTAGAACAAAGAAATTCTTTTTCGATTGATGTGGAATTGTGCGAGTTCACGATAATCGCGCCTAATCCGGCGGATCACGTCTCTTTAACAATAACTAATTTGTATGAGAAGATTTGTTACTTCGACTTTGTTAATGTATACGATGGTTATAACGGAACTGATCCGATAATCGGGAGTTATTGTGACGAGATTCCTCCGACAATTACCAGTACTGGAGCGGCTTTATTTATAACGGCTGGAATTGGATTTAAAGCTTCATATTCTACGTTCTCATCAGGTATTTATTAAATTTCATAGCTCATTAAGTGGAAAAACCATTTCTAAATCGATTAATAAGAATAAATTTTTTTGATATTTCCCTTCGTTTTTGAGATATTTCCCAAAAAAGATTTAATTTTCACAAAAAGAACCAAATTTAATGAATTAAAAGGGGATATCCCAAAAACTACAATATATTCAATAAAAAGTCATTCTTTATTTTCGATTTTGAATTTATTTTCTTACCCAATGATGATTTTAAACATTGTGTAAAAGTAAGCCCAACGAAAGAAATTAATTTTGAATAAATCGCTTTTTTTTATGTTTTTACGCATCTTGCTTATTATTAATCACCGATATAATAAATGGGGTGATTTCATTTAATGGAAAAATCATTTCTAACTCGATTAATAAGCATAAATTTTTTTGATATCTCCCTTTATTCTTGAGATTTATGTATTTTCATCATTCCAATCATCTTCATCGAGTCTTCTCGTCTTCATCTCCACATTGATATCCTGGATCAATTTTTTCCTGGACCTACCTCTTTTGTTTCTTTCTGCTGGCACCCAGTTCCAAACCTCATTTACCTTCTTTTCTCAGTTTTCTCAGTTTTTCTCAGATCTATATATACAATATGTACAATATGTAATGACGTTATACTTAACCCTCTGTAATTCCCGCACTACTTCTTATTTCCTTTCTTGTATATGAAGATTCTTTGGGACATTCTCCGATCTAGTGGAATGTCATCTCTTCTAAGTCATTTGTTAAATGTCGTGCATATTCTTTCCAGGATTTTCATGGTACCATATTTGATTAGCTCTATAGGCAGATCTCCAGGCCCGGGAGTCTTGTTATTTTTCATTTTTTGCAGCGCTAGCTTAACTTTCTCCACCGTTATATCCTGTATGTCGTTATCGTGGATTCCATCGGTTTCTTCCGACGCTAGTCGTGTATCTATATATTCCTCACGCTACTCTGTTAATAGGTGTTTGTAGTTCTTTTCAACAACATTATCCATAATTACTAATCTAAATCCTACCACTTTTCCCAGCCTCCCTCTACGTCTCCTTGCTACCACCACCACCTTTCTATTTCCCTCCTCCCTCTTCTCCAACACCTGACTCCAATCCATCCAGATGGTGTAGAGATTTCCAGCCCTCCTCACACAGCCTGCACCCCCTCTGCTCATCTTCCATCCAATATCTGTTACCCCTTTCTTCATTCCCACACATAAACCGGTGGTCAAAGTATCCGTTTAATATTTGTAACGAATGTTGTTCGCAGAGGTCGATCTGCCTGGTTCCATTATCGTTTACTGTATTTTCTCCGTATCGTCTTATCACCTGACTATGTTGGGACTTCCCTACTCTCCCGTTCAGGATTATTTCTCGCATATATTATGCGAGTACCGTGAGGAGACCTGGGGCAGTGCGTGCCCTACGAAGAACTGGGCTGTTGCGGCTAAAGGATATTTTAACAATTTCTTGGCGATATGATAGCCAGGAGCGGGGTCCCACCCGTTTAAAAATTTTTTGTGGGTAATGCGCTTTATTAACTCGATATGAGTAGCTAAAGAGGAGGTAGTTATCGGCTTGGGTGCACAGGGCGCTCTACCGGCAGCACGTTTGGCTAGCCTGTCCGCGTGGTTGTTGCCCTTGGAGCCGGAATGCCCTTAAATCCACTGGATTCTGACACGATTGTATTTCGCGGCCTCCAGTGACAATCCATAACTACTGCAGACGTTATAATAACTCTGCTTAAAGCTAAAAGAGATTGTTTATTGTCAGTAAAAATAGCAAAACACTTTACTCCGGTTGTTGGATTCAGCAATGCAGTCAACAGGAAGTTTAATAGCAGTTAGTTCCGCTTGTATAACGGTGGTGCCAGACCCTAAAGGTTCCGAGAGGCGAATCGGGGGATCGTGAGAGAATACCCCCGCGCCTGCACCATTTCGTCCTTTTGAACCGTCAGTGTAGATCTTAAAAGTTCTTCACACATCTACTACTGTGGGACTCACGTAGGTGAGGTACTTCTTTGAGAAAACATATTTTGCTGGTCTGTGATCAGTCTTATACTCGAGTAGGGGTGTGTCTAACACTGCTTCCCTCCAGAGTGTTGAACTACTGCCAACGTCCTCATCCTTCATAGTTCCTACTAATTGTAGTCTTTTCATGGTTACCAACGCCGCTTCCTGAATATGTAGGTTGAGTGGTTTTAAATTTAGCATGATTTCCATGGCCGCGGTAGGGGTTGATCGCAGCGCACCTGTAACATACAGACACGCGAGACTCTGTATTCTATTAAGTGCAGTGGTGGCGGTAGACTTAGAAGTTCTAGTCCATCACCGCACCGTAAGTTAGTATTGGTCGAACAACGGCGGTGTAAATCCACAGGACTATCTTGGGAGACAGACCCCAAGTCCTCGCGACAGCCCTCCGGCACTGGCCGAAGGCGACACAAGCTTTATTAACTCTATTGTCTAGGTAGGATTTCCACGTTGGCTTACTGTCTATTATTAAGCCCAAGTACTTAACTTCTGTAGATAGTTTAAGTGGAGTTTTAGCGAGCGTTGGCAGTCTAGGATTGTCAATGTTGCGCTTGCCTGTAAAAAGAACCATCTCTGTCTTCTTGGGATTGACGGAAAGGCATTGTTTATTACACCAGTTCTCAATTAGATTGAGTGCTTCCTGCATCCTGTCGAGGAGTACGTTAGCGTACTTGCCTCTTATGAGGATTGTCAGGTCATCTGCGTAGCCAACGGGTTTAAAACCGGCTAGGTTTAGGCGTTTCATAAGGCTATCGAGAGTGAGATACTTCCCCTTGCGGACAGCTTCTAGTAACAGCCCCTTGAAGAGTGGCCTGGCCAGCCCTTAATTTGAGGACCCTATGTCTTAGAGTGCTCTCAATCCAGCCGCATGGAAGAACAATACAGTCGTGATTAAATGCTATGTAGTAGCATTATTAATTAATTAATTGAATTGGGAAGGCGTTCATGTGCACGCAGATGATATTTTGGCGACTGGAAGAAATTTAATGGAACATGATGAGAAATTACGAATTGTTTTGAATAAAATTAAAGAAAGTGGTTTGACACTGAATAAAGAAAATGTGAAATTAAAAGTGAAGAGACAAGTTATTTGGGATATATTGTCAGCAAGGATGGTATCAAAATAGACCCGAACAGTATTGAAGCAATTAAAAGATATCCAACACCGAAAAATCGTAAAGAAGTGAGAAGATTTCTCGGTATTGTCAATTACGTAGCGAAGTTCATTAATAAAATGTCGGATAAAACAAGAACAATACGCGAACTACTGCGAGAAGATTCAAATTATCACTGAACAGAGAAACATCAATACGATTTTGAGCAATTAAAAGAAGAAATAATACGACAACCGGTTTAGACTAAATTCTCTACGAAGAAAAGAAGTAGAATATCCGCCGATGTGTCACAATATGGTATTGGAGCTGTTTTGGAACAACATCAAGAAAACGGGGAATGGGCTCCTGTATATTATTGTTCGAAAACCTTGAGTGAGGCCGAGCGGCGTTACGCTCAGGTAGAAAAGGAAGCTCTAGCCGCCACCTGGGCTTGCGAACGTCTTGAACAATTTCTGATTGGTATAGAATTCCTAATTCTAACCGACCACAAATCATTAACCGTATTATTGGCAACAAAGGAGATCAGCAAGTTATCAAATCGTCTTCAAAGATTCCGAATGCGGTTACTTAAATTTAATTATCGAATTGAGTATGTTCCAGGTAAATCATTCCATATACCAGATGCCCTATACAGAACCCCACTTCAACAAGGAACAACAGACTTGGACGCTCTCTTAATGGATGAAGTGTATATCAGTTCAGTAATAAAAGAGGTTGATGGATGGATTTGTCCTGAAAGAACGATCAGAGAAGAACAAGATAAGGAGATGATGATTATGGAGGCAAAGGAAAATATTAAAGCCGGATGAAAATAAAAAGTGAAATCACAATATTATAAGTACAGAAACGACTTAGCTATTGATAAAGAAATATTAATCTATAAAGACCGATTGGTAATACCAAAAACCCTAAGAAAGAGATGCTTAATCCTATTACATGACGGACATTTTGGGATGGATAAATGCAAAGCCAGAGCGAAACAAAGTTTATGGTGGCCTGGAATTTATTAACAGATCGACGAAATGATTCAGAATTGCGAAATATATCTACAAACAAAACCAACAGCAACGAAACCGATGATATCTACGGAGATCCCAGGAAGACCTTGGAGTGTAGTTCGAGTAGACTTGGCCAATTACAATAGTCGCACATATATAGTAATTCAGGATTATTATTCAAAATACCCTGAGGTGAGAAAACTAACATCTACAAAGAGTAGAGACATAATTGAAGTAATGAAAGATGTATTTGCCCGACATGGCATACCGGACGTTGTAAGATCCGATAATGGTCCACAATTCAACTGTCTTGAATTCAGACAATTTGCAGAAAAGTATGGATTCAAGTGGACATCATGCAGTCCAGAATATCAACAGTCAAACGGCTGAGACTCAATTGGCTGAGAGCGCTGTCAAAACGTTATAAACAATTTTAAAAAGGAACGCAGAAGATCCCTATTTAGGTTTGCTGGCGTATCGCAACTCAACATTGACATGTGGCGCTTCTCCAGCACAGCCGTTATTTAGACGAAACCTTCGCGACAGAATACCAATATCGAAGAACAAATTAAATCCGAAATTATCCAATCATGACCAAATAAGAAAAAATCTGGAAGAGGAGAAAAGGAAACAAAAATATAATTATCATCGACGATATAGAACAATGGAAAGGGAAGATTGTAAGATCAGCCACAGAGTGTAGATTATGGACAGGAAAAGAGAAGGTATTGTACGAACGAAAACAGATAAACCAAGATCTTATACGGTAGAGACTGAATCTTATACGGTGGAAAAGAAATAAGACGTAACACAAAACATTTAACGAAACTACCCAATGCAAGAAAAGACGATAAACAAGAGGAAGCCTCTACTTAAGATAAGCCTTTAACCGAAAACACAAGAAGTACAAGAAACAGAAGACCTCCAAGTAAACTTAAAGATTATAATGTTTATTAAAATAATTTGGAATCTATTCAGTTTAAATTGCTTTGTTTTCAAAGTTGTCAAAATTATTTTCAAATTACACTTAGTTTCTTTTAGGCAACTAATAAGTCAATTATTTCGATGTTTGATTTTTATAAAAATTTTATAGGTGTTAATTCAACGAAAAGGGGATGTAGTGTAGTTATTACGTGTTGGCAACATTGGGGGGTTGACAGTCGGTAAGGTAACTTGTAACGGTTTTTAGTAGAGAAAACAACGCTCCATTATAAAAGTTAATACGATGAATAATAAACGAATAATAATAAATCATAGATGTCGAAGATTCTCATGTCACGACCGCTTATTCAAATCTATACTGATTATCCTTTCACTTATTGATTTTCTTTCACTTTTGACTTATTGATCTCAGTCCACTATATTCCTTTGCATTGTCTTTCAGGCCGCTCCAGATTTGGCCCTTTTTTTCTTTTTCCACTTTGCTCCAGAAGTATATACAGGGTGTTCATTTAAAAACTTTCCACCTCAATTTCTGTAAATCCGGAAGTTTAAAAAGAAAATCGCTGAAATAGGTAAAGAATAAAACCAATTTATGCAAAAATTGACTCACTCACTTCAACCCCCCGCCGCCAGAAACCAACCCCTTAAAAATCTTTAATGGAAAGGGATACCTCATTTTAAAGGTCTTTTAAGGTACTACATGTTAGTATTTATTTTTTTTAAATTGATCGATTCGTTTTCGAAATTTCCCGCTTTAATTAATATTTCAAACTTTAATCACCTTCTTAAAAGCAAGAATAAGTAATCTTTTATTATTAATTTATAAAATTAAATTACCATGTTCGTTTTTACAACGACCATTAAACCTTTATTATTTCGGAGCAATCGGAAATATTTAAGAAAACTAAACACGTATATATAATTATGAATTAAACTAAATTTTATTGAAAGTATTTTTAACTTCCTTACTCGACGTAGACTTAGTTGGGTAAAGCCATATAAATTTTGTGAAACTATCTATCACGGCAAATATATGTTTGTATTGTTTACTTGTCGATTCTAGGGGACCAAGATGATCCACATGATAAGTATGCAACGGTACGGTTTGTTTTGGTAAAGGATTTAGAAAACCTTGTTTACCTCGTTTTCTGTTTGATTGAATACATTGTACACAATTCGCAATATATTTCTCTATTTTAGACGTTAAATTCGGTATGTAATAATCACGCTTTATACAATCTTCGGTCTTTTTATTCCAAAATGATTTCTGTTGTGTATAGTTCGCATAATCTCAAACTGCATCGCTTTCGGTATTACAAGTAACTCAAGTCCACTAGTATAATAGTACAAAATATCATGTTTCAAAAAATAAGGTTGTGTAACTTTTTCTTCTGTTTTCAACTTGCTTTTAATGGCAAGTATTTCGTCGTCACGATCTTGGGCAAATTTTATTTTTTCGTATATAGAATCTTCTATATTTATTGTCATTATCGGGTTTCTGCTCAGAGCGTCTACATGTTTCATCCTTGAACCACTTCTATGCTCTATTGTGTAATCAAAGTCTTCCAGGTAAAGAGCCCATCTTGCTACTTTAGCATCTAATTCTTTCTTTTTTATCGTTTGAGTAAAAGCTTTACAATCCGTTACTATTTTGAATATTGATCCTAATAAATACACTCTAAACTTCTTTAATGCTTCTATCACCGCCATAACTTCTAGTTCGTAACTTGTATATTTCCGTTCTGCGTCGTTAGTCTTTTTGCTCATATAGTATACGGGATGAAATTTTCCATCTTCTTCACATTTCTGCAACAACACTGCTAATATGCCTTCTCTGGCTGCATCGGTATGTAATTCAGTCATACCTCCTTGTTTGTAAATTCGCAATACTGGCACTTCCGCCAATATTTTCTTTAAGTTGTTAAATGCCAATCTTTCTTCTTAACCAAAATAAAACTGGTTTGTTTTCCTTAGCTTATCACTCAATGACCTTGCGATCATTGAATAATTCGGAATAAACTTCCTAAAATACCCCGTCAATCCAAGGTAGCTTTGTAATTGTTTGCTGGTTGTAGGTTCCGGAAATTTTAACACTGCTTTAGTTTTTTCACTAGATGGGTATAATTTAGAATCTTCGATAACATGCCCTAAGAATTCAATCTTTCTTTGAAGGAATCGGCATTTCTTCCAGTTAATTTCTAGGCCGTATTCTTTGGCTGTAGCAAATACTGTTTTTAATTTTTGAACCTCTTCTTCCTCATTGGCTGCCGGTATTATCAAGTCATCCATGTATGGTAAAGCTATTTCATCTTTGGTTAGTTTGTGGAAAATATGATTTATAAAACGTTGGAAAATTGATGGCGAATTACATAATCCAAATGGAACTTTCTTGAACTGAAACTGTCCACTGTATGTAACAAACGATGTGTATTTTCTACTGTTCTTCTCAATTCCAACATGAAAAAATCCATTTTTTAAATCTATTTTGCTGAATTCTGCAGTTTGTCCAATACATCTTCAATTAATGGAAGCGGATATCTATCTTTTACCATCAAGTTGTTGATTTTCCTATAATCACAGCATACGCGAGGTGTCCCATCTTTCTTTTTAACTATGACTACTTGACTGCTATAGTCGGATACATGGTTCTACAATATCGTTATCTAACCATTCTTCTACTTGCTTATGCACGATGTCTCTCTCGATAAAAGGTAATCTTCTTGGAGTTGCGTATATTGGTTTTTCTTCAGTTAATATTATTTTCATTTCGATATCAGTAAACTTGGTTTTTCGCGGTTGGTATTTCGAAACTAATTCTTTGACTTCACACACATGCTTCTTTTCAGGGTGGCCATCTGATGGCGGCCATTGCACACGCGCTCTTGTGTTCGCTCCGCGATTTTCGTGTGTTTTTAGCGTAAAATAAGAGTTTGTGCTTGTTCTAACCGTGCTTAAATCACGCGTAAGGGCTTTAGCTAGTCTAAAGTGTAAAGTGGTTAAGGATTTCAGGGGTAAGTCGTAGATAATTACTGACAACCAGAACCTAACCTCACATTCTGCTACGCGTGCACCGCCCGACGTGTTTGGGACGGTCGCGCTGTTTTAGCTGCTAAAAAGGGGAGATGAGCTCTACGAGCACCACCCAGGAACCGGCAGCCGCCCCGGAGGGCCCGTTGGACGATGGGCAGGGCTTCATTGAAGTCCACCGTCGTCAACGGAAATATTCCGGCCCCCGCGGGGAATCAGGCGCCGCTTATAGAAGGAGGCGTAAGGAGAGGGAACTCTCTGAGAGGGAAAAAGGTCCCTCCACCTCCGTCCAGGGGACCAGCCGTGCGCCACATAGATCTGGCTCGTCGGGAGCTAGAGCTCGACACCTGCAGCAATGTAGGGGGAGCGATGCTCGCACCCAAGGGCCGGAAAAGGGGCAACCTAAGAGGCAACGGTCCGCCACCTCTTCTGAACCCTCTTTGAGGAAGACGAAGAGGGCGAAGCAGGGTACCGCCCTAGGTCAACGGGCTGGTAAATCGAGTACCGACCCCAAAAGTAACGCGGCTTACAAAGATGCACTTTTAGTGCACCTAAAAGTAGCCGTGATTAACGGCCTAAACCCGCTAGGGAAACTTAGCGAGGCGGAAGCTGAAAAAATCAGGATGGAGCTAACGAATAAGCTCGTAGGGCAAATTTGTGGCGACATTCCTGGCACTAACACGCCGACACCAACCTTCTCTTCGATGGTTTATGTGGGGCAGATCCTAAAGATCACCTGCAATGATAACTCATCGTTGGATTGGCTGAAGGCGAACGTGGCGCTGCTTCCGCCCCTAGAAGGCGTGAAATTAAGCGTCGTAAAGGAAGTTGATCTTCCATCC